TGTAAGGCAGGTAGCTGACAGGTTGCCTGGCAAGTCTTCCTCTGTGGAAGACAGGAGTGAGAGTTGGTTACGCAGCTATTGGAAAGGTGAGCACACAGCACACACACACACCCACAAATACAACACCTGAGTGAGACAGGAAATGTCAACCTGGCATGCTACTGGACTGACAGCTGAACATTTAGTCTTCATAGTCTTAAAAAGGTAAATATACTTTAACAATAATATGAAAACTATATTGGAAGGAAGGAGAAAGAGAATGTGGATGCTTTGGGGAAGAAGAAGGAGGTAAATCTTTATCTTTCATAAGGTGAAGCCAGTAGATAAGTGAATCTGAAATATCAGGAAGTAGCAGAACAGGAACACTATCATTATTTAGAATAATTATAGTAAACACCAGAAGAAATATCAGAGTAGGAAGTAATTTTTCCTGGAGAAGAAGAATCAGAGACAGCGAGGGCAGTTGCATTGACAAGGGTTTGCTTCTTTTCATTACAGCTTGTTCTCTTTGATTTCTAACACTATGTGTTACTTTGACACAAACAAAAAATACATTAGAAAAAGCAATATCTTTCAGAACTACATCTATCACATGCAGATACCAGTCGATCTGCAAATTGATTGCCAAGATTTACTAAAATGAAAAGTAAGGGGGCTGGGGATTTAGCTCAGCGGCAAAGTGCCTGCCTGGCAAGCACAAGGTCGTGAGTTCAGTTCCCAGTACCGGAGAAAAACCAAAAATAAAAAAAATAAAATAAAATAAAATCAAAAGTAAATCTCATTGAATAATTACAAATTTGGGACTCATGATTGAAGTAGAGAATTTTTTTAAAAATTATAGTTTATATAAGATTTTTAAGTAATGTGTTTTGTAACTTCTACTATCTTTTATTCATTTTTTTCTAAGGTATCCAAAAATAATAGTATACGCTTTTCAGGAACCAGCAAGCTTTTGTGTACTATACACGGACAGGTGCACAGGAGCCCTTTATCTCACCTTGCATCCACAGAGGTTGGCCTGCCTGTATCAGCCCTGGAACACTTCTTTAGGAGAATTTACAATGCACTCATTATTCATCTGGTCACAGCCAATATTTATTAAAGACCTACTATACACCAGATACAAATACAACATTTAATTACACCAATCCATATATTTTCCAGTTTATGTGCCTAGCCAACCAATTAGAAAGCCTTAGCCAATGAAACATAAAACTAACTAAATAGCCAGGCATGGTGGTGCACACCTATAATCCCAGCACTCAGGAGGCTAGGGCAGGAGGACTGCCATGAGTTTGAGGCCAGCCTGGGCTACACAGCAAATTCAAGTCCAGCCTAGACCGTATAGCGGGACCTTTTCTCAAAAAAGCAAAAACAATAACAAAAGCTAATAATAAAACTGTAAGCACCACAGTAGGGCTCAAGCCTTCTGCTTCTCTGTATTTGCTGTAGGACTAGGCACAGTGCCCTGCCCCACAATGTCCATACTGTGGCAGGAACTCAGGTTTACTAGATCGCAGCTCTGTGACATCAGATTCTCTCCTGTGTCACCAGTTCTAGGGCCAGGCATCATGTGGGAAATCAGTGATCTTTTAGACGAATGAATAGTGTATTCATAAGCATTGCTGAAGTGAACAAATAAGTAAACAGTGAATTCCAGCGATGTACTCATTCTTTGTCTCTCTCTTATAACTCCACGAAAACCCACTTTTAGGGTAAGAGTATGACCATCAAATCAGACCTCTTCAGTTTTCATTGAATTTTTGTAATATTATGGAAATTTTACCTTGGAGGACCATGTGAAAATGTAACCAAACCCTATTATTTACTTTTTAAAACAATGTGATTCTTTTGTAAAATTCTTAAATGAAACAAATTTTCAAATTTGTTTTATTCTGCTATAACAGGGGTCAATTGATGAAGTCATTGGTGTGTAATTATCTTATCATTCCGGAAAGTAGAGTTGCTTTATTTTTGAAAAATATAGGGCTCCTTTAGCATTTAGTCTAGAAAATTCTCTGCTTGATTAATAAGCTGCTGCCTGTGACTTGTCTTCTTCAGCAGAATCCACTTGGGTTGCTGGGAAACAGCAAATTTTGTTTTAAAAAGTGCAACTTCACACATACACATTCATACAGCTGTACATATAGAACCACGATTCCTTTGACTGTTCAGTTTTACTACGTATGATAGACTCTTATTCTTGTAGCTTAAATACAGTGTACAGGCAAAAAAGCACATCAGGCTTAGGGGGGAAGAGGTCATTAAGACAAAGAACTAGATTGATGAAAGATATGTTTTAATGTATTGTATAGTTTTCAACTCCAGTTGTGATGCTTAATTTCATTTTATCATAGTCTGAATTTTATAATAATTAATTTGGCCTCTCCACAGTCTGCCTAGAAGTAGATGCGTGAAATAGGTAGAGGCAATGTTCTGTGCTCCTGTGACAAAGAAGATCTGAGCACAACCTGCACATGAGAGGCTTGCGCACAGCCTGAGTTTCCTGTGTGATTTTGTTGCTAATGAAATCCCTAAAAGGCAGAGACTGGGAAGAGGAGGCAAGGACGCTCAGGAAAAGGGTGCCACAGCATGGTATCCGTGAAGTATGTCACACAGCCATATTTTATATTTTGTGTATTTGGATTTTCCTTGCAACACATAATTTTAAAATGGAATCTATTTTTCCTTCTCTGCCTAATTTATCAAACCTGTGATTCTGAGCTATACTTTAGCCTGCTTGTAGACAGCTTGCATAGCCAGGGAGGAACATCTATGCAGCCTCTGCTCAAGCCTGTATGAACCAGCAAGATGTCTCCTGGCCACTGCCAGGGGACACAAGGGGGAGAGGGCCACTGGCCCACCCATAAAGAAGCAAGTCAGAAACATTGATACATTCACCTTATACTCTTGTATTAAGTCTTCACAGGTTTAAAATGCTAAATGATTCTAACTTGAACTGGGCTCTGTTAGATTTAGGGGAGAAGAAAACACCAAAAAAATGAAAAAAGCAGAATCCTGATTTGTTAATTGCCCACCCTTATCTTTCCACACTGAATTCATACTCCACAGCAAGCAGAGTCCAGGGCTGACCTATCTTGTTTTCCCTCCCTTCAATATGGCAAGTTCTCTTTCCTCAGTAAGGCATTGTAGGGATAAGTAAAGGGAGAGGTAAAGATATAGTTATACCTATATGTAAAGGGATAGGCCTGGGTCTGGTTCAGGTTATAAGTGTGGACATAGGTATAGGTAAAAGTGTAAATGTAAGTATGAGTATAGGTCAGTGCAAAGATGTAGGTATAGCTGGGCAGGGAGGTAGACAACTGTAATCCCAGCACTCTGAGAGACTGAGGCAGGAGCATCACAAATTCAAGGTTAGCTTGGGCAACTTGGCATGACCTAGTCTCAAAATTTAAAAAAAGGTGGGATTGGGGATGCAGCTCAGAACAAAGGTCCTCAGCTCAATCCTAAATATCACAAATATAAATAAGCCACAAAGATGAAGGTATACATACAGGTACAGGGCAAGGTCTGGGCATGGGTCTGTTTCAAAGTGCAAGTGTACACGTATATAGATCACAGAGATACGCACTTCTCAGAGTCAAAGCTTCTTCCCTCAAATCCCCACCAAGTACTTACCATTGATGTCAAAATAAACCCCAACACCCCACTAATTTTGCCAGAACTCAGTCTTCCTACATTGAAAACTGAATGCGAAACATGACCTCAACAGTGTGGGGACTAGTTCTTCTCAGGCTTCTCTGTACGTGCCTCTGTGGACACCTGTTGCGGGGGTGGCTTTCTCTCCAAGTGAACTGCGCAGTGTCTCATTACAAATGGAACTCACTCGAGTCTGTCTTCTCTCAGTTTGTACAATAATAATTTTCATTTAAGTAGTGCTTGAAACTGTACAGAACATTAAAGACATATTATCCAGCTTAACCTTTCAGCTGAGCCCTTGTTCCATAGGTGAGAAGCATAGGACTCAAGCTCCCCTCCCTGTCCTCTACTCCATGTGAGAACCAGGCCTGTGAGTTCCAATTATTCCTCCAACGATCCACTGTTTTCCCACCTGGGCCGTGTTTCACTGAGGTTGCCCTTGGTACCACCCAGAGACAAACCTCAAAGATTAGCTCTATTTTAGACACTATTTCCAGTGTCTTTTTTGTATCTTTATTTTTTAAAGATTATTTTCCCCCCTTCCCTTTTATCACCTGTGGGTGACAGTCCTGTACCATCTTTAAGCCTACAGCCCTGGAGCCCTCACATATCATATGCCTGGGCATAGAAACAACTTGATAACTCACATCACAACAAAAAGTTACAGCAGGCTACCCATCTGCACAGCCTCTGCAGCATTAAACGGCACAGTTACCTCTGCGAACAGTAACTGATGTTTAAAAACAGGAAGAAGTCAGTCTTTCTCCTGTCTATTCAAGCACGGAGCAGAACTGCAGAGCAAAGGAGGCCTCTCCAAGAAATTTCCAAGAGACTCCCTATCTTGAAGAAATGTATTTCTTATCTACAGTTCTAAAATTGTCAGAATTACTAGACTATTACACTCAGAGGAACTGCAAAGCCAACTCAGTACAGATACAGGTATCGTCTAGATGAGCAAAGCAAGTGCATGGAAACTCAGGGGTCTAGGATCTAACAGCTAAGGGTCAGTCTGTGCTCCAGCCCCAGCATCATGTGAAGTATGGGGGGAGGTCAGGCAATGCTCCTCTCAGGCCCCTGCCAACATAAGCTGAAAATGTCATCTTCAAGTATGAACATCAACAATTAGTTTTTCTGCAGTACCCTCTAAATCACCCCCTTTAACTTTCTTGTCCTGGCTAGCTAGGATATCTGGAATAATACCTCTCCTCCTCCTTTTCTTTAATTTGCACTTCTCATGTGCAGGGTTCAGTCCTATTGCCAGAGTGTATGTAAGCTGCTGCGCGCACTATCCAGGTCGCAGTGGGCCACCACCCTCTCCTGGACAGGGCCACATTACTGACCTCCTACTTCCCGCTGCTGGTACTCTTTGCTTTTAAGCACAGGGTGAGAGACCCACATCCAGGGGTGGTGCTTGCGGAGCTGAGGGAGCAGGTGATGAGTGATGAGGCCCACAGTGCCTGCCAGGGCAAACAGCACCACACTGAGAAACGGCTGCAAAAGAAAAGGGCAAGATCCTGTTATGTACCTCAGAGGGCAGGGGCGGGACATCCATGGGTAACACATACCCCTACCTCCCCACCCCTTTTCCAGTACCAAAGACTGAACCAGGGCCTTTGTACTGAGCTACATCCTCAGACTTTATTTTTTGAGACAAGGTCTCACTAAGTCTCTAAATTGCCAAAGCTGAACTCAAACTTGCAGTCCTCCAGCTTCAGCATCCCAGTGCGCTGGGATTATAGGTGTGCATCACCATACCACTCTTAAAGAACAACCAGACTCTGAACATTTTTTCTGTATACCATAACAAGATGCGCACACCGAGAACTTCTCAGACAGTGGGAAACTGGCCTGTGGAGGCACAGGCTGGGAGAATTCTGCCCACTGTAATACATTATTACAGTTCTTATAAGGAGAACAGGAATGACAAATTTAGCTAACAGGCTTCTCCCCATGGAAAGGAGAGTCCGTAAATGTCCCATACTTTTGTGTAGAGACAGAGACTGTCATAAGTGCCGTAAGCCAGAAACCCAAGGGCGGTCCTCCATCTTTGGTTTCCTCACTGAAAACAGTGTTCCATGGTTCTTGTGGCTCCGTGGCTTCCGTCTCACTCCTGTTATGTAACCTCTCAATTCATGGAGGTATACCGCTAGAGAGTCTTTGCACCACCAACAGTGTTCACTGTGGGTCCCACAGGACTCACTGTTGCTCCTACAAAGTCAGCACCTGTCCAGCAGGTGGAGATACACCTGGAATGTGGGCCAGGTTTCTCCTGGACACTACTCAGTGCATGTGCACTCCTTAGCCCACACCTGCCATTCTGTCTCCTTTCCCTGGCTGTTCTACCGTGTCCCACAGCCCCACACCAGCCCAGTCACCAAGGAGACGACAGGGAGGAACCCAATCCTGGAGACACGTACTCTGAGTGACAGGAACACAGTGCTTGCGCTGACAGCAAAGGAGAGGACGGCGACCACAGAACAGACGACAAGATCTGATCTCAGGACGTCCTTCTGCAAAGAGAAGAGCACCTGTAAGACTGCTACTTCCCACTTCTCTCAGCAGCTCTGTGTCACTGAGTGAATTCTGCCGCAGAATACTGGCCCTCGATACATGGCTCTTCCAGCCTATCGCATGTGTGTCACGTCCCCGGGGCACACCACTCCCCTGTGCTTCCACTAGCTCCTGTTGGAATTTCAGGGAGACTGAGGCAAAGAGGGAAAACAAATATACTCTGGGTAACTGGTGCTAACCATAGGGGGAAGACATGTTATACTGTCAGAGGCATAGGTTCTCTCCCACAAACCCAGAGTGCACACAGGAGGCCCAGAATGCTCCCAAGGGGCACCTGGACTTACCAAGGTCTGACCAAGGAGGTCTTAACAAACAGTTTCTCTTTAGTATCAGGCTTAGATTTTGACATGCGCACAGCCTACGAACGCCAAACAGAAGCCTCTTACACATTTCTTACATTGGACCAGACCAGATTTTACATTTTAATCCTCCAGTGAGTGTGAGAAAAGGCCACTTCCAAATTATTGAAATATGCGTGCCGTATGCACACAAATCATATGTAGACAATGAAATGTTCTATAACTTGAAAAGTATGTTCCACTGCACAAAACTGTGGTCTGAGAAGGACTTGGGGGAAAAAAAGCCAAGTTAGAGCCACATATGCCATAAAAGCAGATCAATGCAGAACGGCTTGGGAGCCTCATGGGACATAATACTGCTGACTGGCAGATCTAAAAGGGACATAGGTGACTATCAGTTCTCTTCTTTCAATGAAGGCAGATTAGCTACAATGCACAATTATTGATCATTTGAAGGTATCACACTGTTTTCTGAAGCCAATAAGCTTATACCTCCCTTTCTTCTACTGAAAAGGAATTACCCTTCTTAAGTAATTCTTTTGGATGTTATCCCCCAGAAAACTGTACAAAAGATATACTCCCCATCTCCCCCACTTTTTATTTTCTTGGGTTTAAAAAAAAAAAAAAAAAAAGAAAGCAAAAAGTAACATATAAGTTTTGTTGCTGGCTTGCTGCCTGTAATAACAGCCGGAGCCTGGAAAAAGTCAGGGGAACATTAAATGGAGCAATGATGACCCCGACCATCTGTGGGTGATGAAATGGCCCACATGGCCTGGTTAGATTAATTCATCGTTCAGTGGAGAGACACATCCTCCCCATCGATCCACCAATTACCTGCTAATATTGTGCTGAATTTTCTCTCAGAAGTTTACAATTCATGCACAAGTACTGAATATAAGAAGAATCAAAGTTTGAGATCTTATTTTAGATTTTCTATTTAAGATTTCTTATTTTAGATTTAGATCTTATTTTAGATGATCTGATTTTACAGCATGGAAAATCACTGGTTATAAATTCTGAGTCCATGAAAAAAAAATAAAAATAAAAAAATAAATTCTGGGTCCATGAAATGTTTGGGATCAGACATTTTTTTCATCAAACCATGACTATCAGTAATAGCCAAAATTCAGGTACTGTTTTCATTTCAAACATTAGGAAAAGATCAAGCCACTCTCAGGGCAAAATGCTTTAATTCACTGCATCCTTAGACTACAGAAATATTTTAATTTTTTCCTATTTTTCATTGGCAAGATTTTTTGTCATGTAAAAATTACTGAATGTTCGTCCAAAAGGAAGATTAACATTTTCCCAAATATTTGAATTTCAAATTGTGTCAACTTCAACGAACCAGTCTCTTGGCTAAAGGGAACATGGGGGGGGGGGAGCAGCTACCTTTCTAAACTTGTTATAACACCAATTACTGGTAATCTTTTCCATAGCTGGATAATATATTGGCACTCCACTGTGATTTCTGTTAGTGTCCCTCATAAATACACACAAACCACTCCTACTGCCTTTCTCTCTTGATCATATATTCTTTCTATTCATTTCCTTTCCATTTTATAAATTTTAAACACCTTTGTTAAGATATAATTGACATAAGGTAAACTTCCATGTATTTAAAATGCATAGCTTTATGAATTAACATATACATATCTCGACAAAACCATCATCATAATTAAGATAATTCAGCACACTCATCATGCCCCAAGGTTTCTTCTCCTGCCCTGGCCTAATCCATTCCTCTCTGTACTCTGTCCTTGTGGGGCCACTGGTCTGCTCTTTCACTATAGATTACTTTCATTTTCAAGAATGCTATATAAATGGACTCATAGAATATGTACTCTTTTAGGGTATGGCTTCTTGCATTCAGTGTAATTATTCTGAGGTTTATCAATGTTGACTATATCGATAGTTCATCCATTTTCATTGCTGAGTAGTATTCCTTTGTACGGATGTACCATTATGTGTTTATTTCTTCACCTGCAGGTAGACATTTGGGTTTGTTCCCTGCTTTTATCCTCACAAATAAAGCTGCTACAAGTATGCATGGACATGTCTCTGTACATGTACTTTTTGTTTCTTGTGTAGGTACTTAGGAGTAGAATGGCTGGGGTATCTGGCAGGTTGAGGCTCAGCTTTCTATGAAAATGTCAAACTACTTTCTAAAGTAGCTGTTTTGCGTTCCTGATGGTGGCACCTGCGTCCCAGCTGCTCCACAGTCTTGCCAAAGGACTTGTTAGTGGCTGTCCAGCCTAGCGATCTCCACCAGAAGCACATGTTTTCCTTTCTGAGATTTGCTTGTTTTTTTAATCTCTTCTGTATGATTTCAAATGATAAATCAAAAGTAAAATCATCATTTATGAATTTGTAAGCTCATGGGGGGTAAATTTGAATTTTTTGGGGGGTGAATTTGAATTTTTGTCCTATATCGTAAAGATAGTCTCCTCTATAATAAAGGATTCCCCGTGTTCTCAGGATTTATTTTCACATATTTAGTTTTATAATCCACTGGGAACTGAAAGCACAGTGGGACATAGCAGAGCACTGCTGTTTTGTTATTGGCAAATAACACCTACCTTTTATCATTTTTGTCCCTCTGGAGATGAAAACTACATGCTGTCTCTATTCTTTTAATAGTTGAAGAAAACACTCTATGACATGCAAACTTATCAGTCAAGTTAATCAATATTTTCATTCTTCTCCCAGAAATTACTAAGAATTTAAATATCTGCAGTCCATATCTCTTCCTATCAAACCTGCATGCTACTGCAATTGTATATTTCCAGTGCTACTGTACTTTTTTCATTAGTACACAGGATAACAGGTTTTGATGTGGCATATTGATACACGCATACAGTGTACTTTGATGACTTCACCTCCCCTTCCCTCCCTGCTCTTCCCTTCTCTCTTCCCCTGATTTTCTTCCTCTTCTCTAATCAACTCCCTTCAGTTTTAAGTCATCTTTATTTAGATTCCACGTATGACAGAAATTAGACAATATTTAACTTTCTGAGTCTCGTTTATTTTGCTTAACACAATGATCTCTAGTTCCGTGCAATTTTCCTGCCGATATGATTTTGTTATTCTTTATGACTGAATAATATTCCATCATTATAGATATGGAGACAGTCTAGGTGTCCATCAACTGATAAGAAGTGAAAAAGAAAATGTGGGGTAAAGTAACGTGTTAGAGATGGTGTTTCCATATCTTGGCTATTATGAGTTGTGTTCCAATAAATACAGGTATGCAGGAATTCCTACAGTGTGCTGACTATAATTTTTTCAGGTATATACAGAAGTGTAGTACAGCTGGATCAAACAGTAGATCTATGATTAGATTTTAAGAAGCTGCTATACTGATTTCCACATTGACTGCACTAATGTAAGCCAACAACACACCGTTATTACAGTCTTATGCAATTAATGTGTGTTAGATTTATAAGTGTATCCTTTTGCTCTCCTCTTTGTTCATTCTTGCAAATCAGATCATCTATTCAAGCTCCCTTTCTGTTGAAAACTATCCTTCAGAATTATATTTAATTAGTTTTTGTTTGCCTGCAATGTTTTTATTTTGTCCTTGCTCGTGATGTTTATTTTTACTTGGTGTAGAATTCTAGCTTGGCATTGACTTTCTTTACAAAACTTGAGATAATATCAAACAGCTATCTTCGGGCTCGCATGCTTCTTCTTGACCAGGGCACTTTCTATCTGTCTCTCCTTGGATGTGAATTTATTAATTACCTGCATGGCACCGGCTCACTGTCCTTGGTGCAAGGCAGCCTCACTGTGCTTGCCTGGTGTGAGTCCTCCCTTCTCACTGTCCTCACACTCAGGCCCAAGGTGGGGCTCCTTTCACACCTGGCACTGAGGACATGGAGCTGGGTCTTTGAGCTCTTCCTCACCTCAAGAGTGTGGCTCTTCAGTGACCCAGCCTGACAATGACTGACCTGGCGCTGCATAGCCCACCTTGGCAGGCCTGAGCTTTAATTTGTGCACTCTACAGTTTGAGAGCTGAAATCCATGGCCCAAGCTCTAGGGTGGCCCTGCATTCTGGGCAGATTCTGTGGGAGCTTCCGGCCACTTCCTCCAGGTCCCCTGTTGATTCACATTCTTACCTGACAGCTTCTTACTGTCCTGTCAGGGTTTTTTTTCCCCTCATTTAAGACAGACTTTTTTGGCCTTTCATCAGATTTTTTGCTTTTAATCGGCAGAGAGTTTGGTTATGATAATTTATCTGCCATAATACCAGAAATGGAAAGGTCCTGTTTGATTTCTCGTCCACTCCCTCTCCCTTCTTTTTTCTAAAAACTCTTTAATCCCTCTCTGACTTACACTGGGAACTGGTGAGGGATTAACACATAAAATTCTCTTTTCTCTCCCACTGTTAAGCACCATACATTAAATAATCAATTCTTGACTGTGACATTTAATTTTCACATAATACATTTATATAAATAACTTGTCTCCTTGCTGTGTTTCTCTGATCCACTAATCCCATTCTTTAATGTTGGATGGGTCTCCTAGTTTGTTCTTATTATTCAGTCTTTATAATAATACTCTGATCTCAAAGTACTAAGTTCCCTTTTCTTATTCTTTCCTTTCAAGTTGTTTTAAACTATTAACAGCTATTCTTCTATATAAACCTAGAATCACTTTCTAATGCTGTGAATATAATTCCTTTGGAACTGTTCTGAACACTATTAAGCCTATAAATTTATTTTAAAAGAATTGGCATTTTATAAATCTCAGCCTTCCTGTCCAAAATCAGGTGAGGTCTATTCATGGCCACTTACGCAAGGCTTCATTTACATTTTAATAGACCGCTGCCATTTCCTTTATTTGTGACACTGCTTGTTAAAATCACTCCCTCTATCAATTCATGTATTTTGTTGCTATTGTGAGTTGGATCATATTTTCTAAGATTATTTTTGGTATGTTAAAATGTTCTTGGTTTTCTAAATTTTCTCTCATGTTATTTATAAATCTTCTCATTAGTCATCATTGATTTTAATAAGGTTTTCTGTGCATTCTATTTACATATAATAATATAATCTATCTTTTTTGTTCTTTCCTGTCACACATTGGCCAGAACTTCTAAAAGATTATTCAATGATGTTGATATTTTGCTCTGTTTTAATGGTACATTGATGTATGTTTAACCAAAAAATATATCCTCTCTTAGTATTTTAAATATTTCTAATGTACCGTGGCATTTGTCTAGTGCTTCTTACTCCTTCTCTGAAGCCTAAGAAGTTCCAGCACTCCAAACCAAGAAAGTTTGGACAGCACGGGAACTGGGAAAATCTAGATTTTACAACCAATAGTTTAGAAGAAGCTGTTTGAATTTTAAACATAAAGACTAGGAGATTTTTATTTTAAAAGTTTGAGTTTCCAGCAATGAAGTTGAACAGACAGAATGAAAGTGGTTGATATAAACATGACAAGGGGTGTTGGCACAGGTGAAGGTAAAAACTGACAGGCCGTGTGGGCAAAGTATGTGGAAAAGGCCAGAGGCAGAATGACAGGAAAGTTCCTGTCTTATTCACTGTGGAGTTTTGGTTACGAACTTTGTGTGTACGACTCCTCATGTGAGTGTGGAAATGCACAAGCCAGTAAGTTCATCTCTCTTCTAGATCAACATTTCTGGAGGTGCAGTGTGTAGACATCCTGTGCAGAAGCCCTGGCAGGACATTCTGGTCAGAATATAGATCCCCAGGCCCTGTACTGGCCTTGAGATTCAAAAGGCAGGAGGGCTAGAAAACTGCAGCCTAAGGAGGCTCCCCAGGGGTTTCTCATGCAAATCAAAATTTAGGGAAAGAGACAGACAGACAGAAACTAAGAGATCCAGAGAGAACGACAGAAAAGCACCATAAGAGACAACACGGAGCATAATTTTGTACTTGCGCTGTGGTACAAAAGGTGTAATATATCAACCTGTAAAGGCTGAATCTGATATTCCCATTAAAATATTATAATTAGATCAGAGACTTTTTGGAGAATGAACACAGCCATCATATTAAATCACCTAACAAGTAATGCTCCACATTGCACAAAGCATTTCAAAAGATATGAAAACCAGGAAAGGAAACAACTAACCCATCACATCTAATTATACTAATAAAATGAAGTCAGTGTCTGCTAGGCAACTTTCTTGTCATATTTATTTGAAACTCATACCTTATTTTTTGCTGCAGTAAATCAGCAAATGGAAAGGCATCTTCATGAGTCATAAAATTAAGGAAGTCTTTGGGGAGGGAGGGCATAGCTTTTCTCAGATATCCATGGGGAGACTTTGGGGCCTCTGTATAGCTTTGCTGAAACAGATCTGTGAATGTCGGTTTGATAGCCCTGCCAGCATTTCCTGGTATAAATACCAGCAGCGGGCAGGATATGGGTGCTGTGTTTGAATGTCAATGTCTTTCTCCTTCCCTAGCTGCCACCTTGTCACCTCCAGCACCTTCACCTCCTCTCCTGCTTTTAAATATCTCTGCTTTTAAAATTCATGAGCACACACTTCCTTGTATTAATTGCTATTTTCCTTGATTCCCTTGTGGTGACAAAGAAGCCTCAAAGCTTTAGTTTGAATTGTGCCCATACCCAAAGATGCTCAGGGCTAAAGATGTGTTTTTTAAAATATGATCATGTTGACTACAAGTCCTATACATTGCCTTGAAATGGCAGACTGGAGTGTAATTCATCAGGGTAAATGCGATGGTATATACTGAGCGCCTGCTGCGAGTCAAGAACTGGTTCTGTGGACAAGACTTGGAGACACAGTTCCTGGCTCCAGGAAGATGCAATCGACAGACCACTGATTTTTATCTGTCATTCCTAAGACACACAGAAAAGCACGAACTGAAGACATCAGACTGCTCCAAGCTCAATAATGTGTGGGAGCTTACAAAACCAATGAGCACCGCATTTCAGAGTGTTAATGAAAGTTGATGTCAGAGGTGACATATATGCTCTAAGAATGTTTAAAGCAGCCCAGAGCCATTTTCCTAATACATAGGAAACAGCCTGAGGACTCATCACTTCCTTCCCTTTCCAGCCAGTCTGTGTTCCAGTCAGTGTGGTCACTCCCATCCCTGCCATACCACTGTAAGTCTAAAGCGCAAAGGTCCTAGCAAGGGTTACACAAACGTAAACCTTGACTCAGAAACCCTGGGAAGGGTGTTCCAAGCCATGTGCAGCCATGGCAGGATATAGAGCTGCTGTATACGAGGCATGTCAGGAACGGAGGTGAGCTCAATGTTTACACGGCAAGCTTTGGTCGGTTTGAGTCTACCTGCTGGTGGGCGTGAGCAATGGACAGAACTGACTGAGCCTGGCATGTCATAATATTCAGGCAAGATGTCACCATTTAAGGGCCAAGGATGCCAAGGCCCGTGTGAACAGTATCTGCCTTTGAGATGTTCCGAAGGTCCGCATCTCGCTGACAGCTCAGTGGCCTGTGTGCCACATCTGGGTCCCAACAGTACCTCTTCTTCCCCCGTCCTTTTCATGCACATCTAAGTAGAGCCCCAAGAACCTGAGCTCAGCTGACAAGTGAGTCCCTCCCACAGGAACTGGGTATAAAATACCAGTGTCTCACCACCGAATCCTTCATCTTCTGAGGGAGTGGGTCAGTGGCTGACTCTTCCAGGCTTTGATGTAAAAATTTAGGAAATAATTTGCATTGAAAAAGGGACCTAAAAGTGGAAAAACACATAGGTTTTACTTCCTAAAATATCCACCTGGGGCAGTACGAGACATCAACAACTGCTCCTTGGACCTCACAGTAATCAAAGCAAGTGCTCTCTCCGTTCCGAAATTCACAGTAACAAGCAGTGCACAGGCAAGGGCTTCTGAAGAGCAAGCTTGATTTTTAAACTGCATCCTAATGACATCAGTGTAGTACCTTAGGGATATGGATGCTCTGACCGTCAGGAGCAGGGTGTCTCTTATTTCTGTAGCCCCACTAGGCTCCCTCCTCACAAAAAGTGCCAGCAGGAAGCAACATGCCAGGGACACATTTAACACTAAAAGCTGTGCAAACCATGTCTAATTTCTCCTTGCCCCATATCCTGGGCCTTTCATCTTAATGCATCCCAGCAGCCTAAAATTGCAGTGTCTCCAGCCCCCAGACAGAGTTATCCTCAGTCACAATCTTTTGTAAGTCTGGACAAAGCACGTGAGATGCTCCATGAGCACTGAAACTCACTTTGACATCATGAAGAATTTCCAGCCCCCAAAGTATATATTTATACTTTCAGGTAAACGAAGATTGTATGAATGCATTTTGAAACTCTAACACATATCTTTGTTTAAAGTGAAAGGGAACAAAAAGGAATGAAATAAAATATAAAATTTCTTTCAGAGGTGCAAGTCTGGTCTCCACAAGGTGACAGGACTCAGTGTACCCAGAGGACCCCTGAGCTGGGCGTACACACACAGCTCACCTGACCGAAGACCTCCAGCAGTGAGTGACCAGCTCATGTAACAGCATCAACAGCGAGTACCAAATGCCAGACTGCCCTCTTCAGGAAGCAGCCACAGCTGCAGGAATGGCGCCCACAGCATGGAAAAGAGCGAGGACAAGGGCTACTCACAGGAGCACAGACGGGTCACTGCTCTGCCTGCTCAGATGGTATGATAATGCCACCAGGAGGCCGCAGAAGGCTGAAAACAGTGCTGGGATGTGCTGTGTGCTCCATGGCTCCTGAAAAAAAGAGGACGAGACAGCCTGAGCCATCGGCCTGGGATTTTTATTCTCCTGCCACACACACCTGTAGCCCCATCACAAAGAAGGAAATGTCCATTTATTTAGCCTCTTCAATTATCTACAATACCAGGTATCATATAATAAATCCATATGATGCCAGGTATCATACAGTAAATATATAGACCAGTAATACAGCTGCTGGTTATCGTTATCTAATATTATGTGCTCTTTGGAAAGGCACACACTGTGCTTTGTATGACTAGTCAAGCAGTAGACTGTCTAGACCAGCATCACCACAAACATGTGAGTTATGTGTTGTGCTGGAATGTCATGACCACTGTGATGTCACCAGGTGTACTGATACTGGTATAGTCTGTGGACCTAAAGTTGGCGAGGAAAAGGTGGGGGAGTGCTGCTTCCACTAAGTAAATCAATTGAGTCTAAGAAGGAACTATTCTAGCCAGGTATGGTGGTGCATACCTGTAATTCTAGCACTCTGGGAGACTGAGGTAGCAGGATTGCAAGTTTGAGCCCAACCTGGGCAATTTAGCAACTTAGTAACGCCCTATTTCAAAAAAAGGTTTTTGAAAAAGGGAATGGAAATATTGTTCAGTATGAAGCCCCTGGGTTCAATCTCTAGTATCAAGAAAAAAAAAAATTGGGAGTAGGGTGTAGTGGTGCACGCCTGTAATCCCAGCATGGGGCTGGGGGGTGGGAGATGGGGAGGTGGGTATTAAAACAAGAGGATAGCTGTGAGTTCAAGGCCCGCCTGGACTACAGAGCGAGACTCTGTCTCAAGAAAAAAACACAGGGGAACTACTCAGAATCCTTTTGCAGAGGTCAGACTTGGAGGGAGGAGACTGACAAGATGAACTGGTTCTGCCTCGTGTCTGTATTCCTCTCCTTGCTCTCCTGCTCCTGAGGCTGCATGCACATTCCTCGTGACCCTTCCAGGGCTGGGCTAGTCCACACCCCTCGGGTATGTGCACCAGACAGAGACTGATAAGGCTGGGGGAGGGTTACTGAAGCGAGAGCAGAGGAGACAGGCACAGCTGAGCTATGGTTAAAAAAATACATTTGAAGATGATTTCTTTTACCTTTACCTGGAAATAGAAAAGAAAATACTGATATCTGAGGAAGAAGAGAACAGCTGAGCAAAGAGGGATTTTGAAGCAGACATTCAAATGCCCCATGTTTGGCAGCTGACAGTCAGCTCAGGCCTCGAACAGCTTCACTTCTACAAGGAGAAGCAGAAGGCAGGAGAGGAGGTACGGACCGATGCTTTCAGTGGAGCTTCAAAATAAACTTTAACATTTGAAACATGTATGTATTAGTCTCGATTTCATAGATATGTTGTTTACCATGCTCACACTCACACCCATGTGCACGCATGGACCCACAAATACAGAAAGATTTTGGAGGAAAATCTGGGTTTAGACAATCTATCACTCACAGATAATGAAGGATACACTCTGTGACGGTTTGCTTCAAAATTAACAACCCTAATTGCTCTGAGATGTGTCTCATGGGCCCCTAAATTGGGACTGATATGGATTGATGAGCACTGGTTTCATAAAACTCCCACAGGTTTTGAAATATTTTTATGAGGTAGAAATAAAACTGTCTAATAGTCCTCCAACTCTGCGGTGGATTTCATACGCATTTGGGAATCATTTTGATGAGAACGCACACACAGGGCAGTTTGGTTTTATGTAAAAACACACTCTGAAAAGAATCTTAGTTTCAGCATTTTTTCCCTTAGAAATTTTAGACATTTCTTATGATGGGATTTACAGGCCGACAGAGTCTGGTTATAAAGTGAACACAAACAGGTCAAATTTTCACTCTGCTATGCCTTTCAGATCAGACTTAAATGCATTCTCTTTAAAGAAATAGAAATATGTTTTTCTTATCCCATTAAACACAGCATTTCTGAGATGCAGGTTTCCATAATCCTAAAATAATAACTAGATTTTATCACTTTGATTCTGATCACAATCCTATTTCTAGGCCTATTTTTAACACAAATCTCATCTTTAAGTAAGAGGAGTTCTGTACCTATACAATTTTAGAATTTCATTGAGGTCGTAAGTGCTGTCCAGTCCCAGACCTATGTGTTCTGTTCCCACTTCATATGCAGCCCAGAATCAGCATGCAGAAGCCGAGTGTGAGTGCGGAGTGTGTAAGGGTCACCCCAGGCTCTGGGCTCCCTAGCACCCAGTAGCTGCTCAATAGTATTCTTTATAGCTTTTGCACACCCAAGGGGTTGCTAGGGCCCAGACTCTGGCCAGCTCACCACAGGTGGTCAGGATGTGACCTGCTGACCACACGTATGGGCACATTAGCAAAAATGACAAGTCAGACTTCACTGTGTGCTAATGGCAGAACCTTTCTACTCTATTTTGTTTTTCATCTTGGTGGAAAACACCATGTGTTTATGAGAAGAGACAGTAATTCAGTTTTAGGAATAGATACTCGAGAAAAATGAGCTTGTTAGCTAGAAGGACAGGATGACGGGTCCCTTGCATCCAAGCCTCCCAGTATAAATACACACACACACACACACACACACACACACACACACATACATACAAATAAGCATACCTCTTTGAAAACAATGATGTTTGCTTTTCTTTCTAACTTTCTCCAAGTTACCACTAATTATTCAGTCCAAAAGTTGATGTAACACCTTTAACATGACACCTGCCAGACTATGCAAATGGGATATAAAACAAAGTGGACATAAACTGTCGCTTCCAACTTCAGATGCTCACAGTTGATCTGGGAACAATGCAAAGTATGCACAAATAACCATGGCCATTACCCCAGCTCTCTTTTTTTTTTTTTTTTTTGGTTTTTCTCCGGTACCAGGAACCGAACTCACGACCTTGCGCTTGCCAGGCAGGCGCTTTTGCCGCTGAGCTAAATCCCCAGCCCCCTACCCCAGCTCTCTATGCGGCCACTTCACTGGCCTGTACTGAGCATTGCCACTTTGAGCTCTTAGGGCACCCTGAAGATATAGATGTCACTTGAGCTGTGCATGAGGAATCAGAGCTTATACTTCCTGGCTTCTGTGGTGAACATCTGTACTTCTCATGGGAAGTGATCACAGACAGGAATTCATATAATGAACAGGAAGGAGACAATACTGTCCCCGGAACTCTAGGCAAGAGGACCAACTTCTGCCACACCACAGGGACAGACCTCACCCCCCATCACTGCTTGCATCTCTGTGGCTTATCCCTGGGCCTGGGACACTCACCTCCACAAACTCTGTCCCCTCTGTACCTCTCCCTCCATGCAAGACAGTCACTAGGCCCTAGTGAAATGCCAGCTTCACTCCATTTCCCAGGCTTGACCTTGGGTGTCCTCTGTGCTCACTGCCATACCTGAGTCCATATCTTACCTGCAGGTGACCACTGTGACTCCATTTTGAACAACTACCAAGCTGTCATTATTCTTCACACTTTTCTCCCAATCATTAGTCTCCTCACTTTGCTCCCAAGTCAGGACCAAATGTCAAACTGTCAAAGTTTGCCTATCCAAGTTTGAGGAACATGACCATCCAGTCTTAACTGTATTTGGGAAACATTTTTTTTTTTGTTTTGTTTTATTTCATTTTTTGAGAAAAATCTTGCCAGTCTGGCCTTAAATTTACAACCTTCCTTGACTAGCTGGGACTGCAGGTGTGTGCCAAGAGTCCAGCTATACTTTTTAACTCCTCCCAGGAAGGGAGGAGTGGCAGACATCCAGCTAGATACCTAAGATCCATTTTCCCTTCCTTTCCCACTAGCAGAGATTTTTCTAATTATTCAGACAGCAAACAGCTTATGATTCCCACTACCCTGTGGCTAGAAGGAACACAGTTCTAGCCATAAAATGCAAGCTGCAGTACAAACAAAGTGAATTAAAACTTGGGCTTCATTTTCAAATTTTACTATTATTATTATTACCACCTTGTTCCTCAGCATCACAAGCAGCAGCTATTTACACTAATAGTTACCATTTATATCAGTTTTCTACTGCCTGGTAACACACCACCATGAAACAGTGGCTGAAAACCACAAGTTCATTGTCTCGAGTTTCTGTGGGTCAGCAGTCTGGGCAGAGCATGGCAGGGTTCTCAGCTCGGGGCCTCGCTGGGCTAAAATCAGTGTTATCAGGTCCTTGATCTTACCTGAGCTGTGGGATTCTCTCCAAGGTCCTAAGGGTTGGCAGAGCTCCCAGCAGCTGTGGGACTACAGTCCCTGCTTTCATGCTGAGTGACAGCTGGGTCCCACTGTAGCTCGTGGAGGCCACCCTCGGTTCCTGACCCCATGGTCCCTCACACATGGCCATTCACTTCTTCAAGGTCAACACAGAAAGGTCTCTGTTGCTTGCCCTAACCCTAGAAAGGGCTCCTCCTTCTAGATCATATCACCCAGGGTGAGCTCTTTATAAGTTAAACTTTAATTTAAATCAAAGTTACCTGAAGGGACCCTAACTCCACCTGTGAAACCCCTTCACCTCATGCAGACAGTGTCTCAGGAGAGATCCCTTCCTCTTCAGACCCTGAGAAACCTCACGGGAGGAAATCACTCAGAGGGGCACACCAGGGGTGGAGATCTCCCGCAACCTTAGAATTCAGCCTATTGCTCCATTAACAAGAACCCTTGAGCCGCATTTCCATATGTATTATCCATTCTACTTCATTTGCTTCTCAGGACATCCCTGTGAGTTTGGTTTTACTAATCTATTTTACAATGGGGAGAAAACCACATAAATGACGTGTGTGTGCCCTGGAGCAAACAGTGAAAATGCTGTGCTTCAAGTCTGCCATTGGAATACAGTAATGCTAATGTCTTCTTTGTCCATTAAGTGGTGGATACAATAAAGGGCAAATGAGAAAACACTTGGGAAGTTACTTTGTAAATTAAAGTCCTATAGATGGGCAAGGTATCAGATATCCTGTGAATTGTCCTTCTGGTGCTACACATACATATACACCTCCAACATGCTGGGAAGACAGCATAAAAGGAGGACTGCAGAGACTCAGACCTGGGTCTGGAATCTGGCATGTGTCACTTGGTGTCTGTCTGGAGCTCCATTTTCTCATTTTGAACAATAAAGTGAAGGGGCTGGAGTAGGTAAAGTCTAAGATCCACTCCAGTGCTAAATATACTCTAGAACTAAGAGCTTGCTTTATACTTGCTCTCAGGTTTTAAATCTGGAATGTGGGGAAAATGCCATTGCTGTAGGTTATAATCCTGTTAGTACCTGGAAGAGGCATGAGGCAAACCATTCGACAAGCTGTCATTAATGATGCTTGGGGAACATTAAATTATAATAATGTGCTCCAACCTCTGCATCCCCTTGCCATTAATAAAATAGAATCTCTTCGTAAGGGATAATAAAAAATAGAAATTGTGGTTTATCCAGACAAATAGAAAGCTCAGCTAATTAACTACTCAGCCATTTCTCCAGGGAGCAAATAATCTGGTTGTTTCTGTGTATCGCTGTCATTTAAGTCAGTGAGGGAGGCCATTTCTATGTTACTTGCTATCATCTTGGATGAGTCAAAGAGAATGTGAAATTAAAAGAGGGATCAAATTTCCCCTTCTTAATTAATATTCCAAAGGGCACAATTAATGCACATCCCTCAATCTACTTCTACCAAGTAATAATAATAGAAACTAAAAGGTAGTAAATACAGATAGCCAGATAGAGAAATGCATCTCTGGCCAGGCACCTGACATGCTGAATTTGTTCACAAAGACCTATCCATCTATCTCCCCGCTGCAGAGATGAAAGGGAAAAAAAAAAATCAATTCCAGCAAAGCAAAAAGTAAGCATAAAAGGTATAAACAAAAGCACCATTAAACAAGAAGTGGAATCACAGCTTTGGGTCGGTGGGAGTTGGGTTAAGATGGGTGAGCTTTTCTTTCTGTCTAAAGACCCCCTTGTGAATTTGCTAACCACATTCACTCAATTCACAGCATTTAATAGGTGCTGCCTCTTAAAGTGGAGAGTCGATCTGAGACCATTAGAAAACACAGGACTTACAAATGAGAAGAGAGAAATGCAAATTGCTCTATTTTTTACCAAAATGAGTTTCAAAATGCAGTTAGAACATTAACATTTTCTTACAATACACTATAATATTTATCACCAGTGATGCTTGTTCTGTGCTGAGCAAGAGAAGCCAATACCTCCCTGAGAGGAAATAAACTCCCCCCAAGTACCTCAATTCCACCTCCTTAAAAGCCTGCTCCAACACTCAGTCTGCCCCCAAGCCCCCGCACAGGGACAGCAGTGTGCTCCCAGAATGGACTCTCTTTCCTCTGATCCAAAGATTACTTTCCCCTCTAACACGTCCGCACAGGATGGAAAAACAGAACTAACAGGCGCAGTTCAGGACAGGAAAGAGCATACTGCAGGGCCAACTTCAGCATTCAGCTCTGACTGCTTGCAGCATGGTCAGGACATGCCAAGGCTGGACTGACCTCTATGAGAGAAAGAGCTGGCATTAAGCAGCATTAATCAGTGTGTCTCATGTGGAAACGGAGTTGGACTGGGGAAGAAAGGAAGAAGGATCCTGCCCCAAAACTGGTAATCCCCCAGAAAACTTCTGTTCAATACCACATTCTTCAGTAGTTTCTAAACCCTCTATGATTTTGCAAATACAAAAAAAAAGGCATGTAATAAATGAGTGCGTGTCACTTTTCATGGCATTAGAAATGGTAATAATGAGGTTTTGTATCTTCCAGGTGAAGTGATATTCTCAGAACATACCGCTTCCCCTCAGGAAGGCTCACAAGTCATTCTGTGGAAAGAAAACATTCTAAGGACTGAAGACTTCATTGTTTTCCATAGATTCAGTCATGACTGGGATCAGTGAATTATTCACATCCAGTGGACTTTAGCTGCTCAAAAGCATGAGGCATGAGGCAACGGTTCACTGTAAGTCGAAGATCAGAGTGAGCAGATGTGAGCTGAGAGCACAGAGCTTGGCAGACTGAGGGTCGCGAAGGTGACTTGGGAAGTTAGCAGCACTAGCGGGCCATCAGCCAGGTGCCACGGGGACAGGAAAGGAGGGAAAGACACAGTCCTTTCTTCTCTGGGGCACAGTCTTCATCCATGAAGGATGAAGTGGGTGATGAGAAAAGAGAAAATCAGTCAGAGGAGGTGGCGGGTAGCTCTGCTTCAAACATAAAGCTGAATGCAGGCTTGTATTTGACCCCACAATCTCCAGATAAATGAACACACTGTGTGGAGGGAAAACTGACTGCAAAGGAACATGAGGAAAAATTTCTGGATGGTGAGCTGTTTCCTGCCTGTGATGGTTACTACCTGACTATACACATCTGTCTCGATGCATGTAACCGTGCACTTAAAATTACTGAATTCAACTGTGGCTTCACTGTACTTGACAGAGTGTACTTTTGATTCCAAACAAGTTTCGAGGATAGAAATGAGATCACTGGGAGTCAGAAGGTGGAAAGAGACTACAAGGGGCGGTGAGAGACTCTTCTGAGTTGTTGGAGATGTTCTACAGTTTGATTGATTGTAAGCTTCTTTACATGACTAAGTACAAGTATTACTCAAAACCTACCAAACCAAAATTTGTTTTCAGTAGGGGGAATTGATCCCAGGGTGTTCTCATTGAACCCTTTTTTAACTTTTTATTTTGAGACAGGATCTCTAGGTTATCCACACTCTAGCTTGAGATCTTCATGCCTCAGCTTCCCAAAGTGCTGGAATTACAGGTATATCCCATTATGCCTTGGCAAAATAGATACTTTTAGAAGCTGAATTTTAAACCGGATCTCAAAACTTAATGAAAAATTAATAAACAAACAATTACTGGAACACAACAAAGCAATATATTAAGGTTTCTGCAAGAAAAATTTGTGAGTCACAAATTTTATTGGCAGTGATTTTTACTGAAGAACAGTAGAGAAATTTCTCAGAAATATGAAGGCTTAGAAAGTACTCATTCTAGTACTTTTCCTGAATGAAATACCCAAGATGCAGGGACTGCATAAAGAAAAGTATGTCTTAAAAAACACCAGAAATACTAGTGAATTATATAATTGTTGGTCTACAAAACAGGATGTGTATGATATCAAACAGGGCAAAGGAGCACATGAGTGATATGTGTGTTTTAGAGAAAGAGGCCTTCCTCTTCTCTTCCCCTCTCTCCCTCCCTCTCTTCACACTTTTTCTGAAAGGAAAGATCCACATGGAAGGGATGGAAGGAGCGCGGGAGAGGACTATGTCACCAACCACCCAAGAGAAACCAAGCTGTGACGCAAGAGAGAAAGATGCTGAAATCTTTCTCCTCCACATAGAGAAGTTAAGTAAACAATTGTCTTTTGACGCAGCATTGAATAAGACTTTAAATGAATCTTTTTAAAAAGTTATTTTTTTAAGTTTTTTTCTGTTTTTTTTTTTAGACAGTCTCACTATGTAGTCCAGGGTGGCCTCAAACTTGTGACAATTCTCCTGCCTCAGCTTCCCGAATGCTGGGATTATAGGTATGTGCCACCATATCTGGCTTCAACAGTTATTTTTTTAAAATTATCATACACTATATATTAAGAACACCCAAGAATTTATAACATTTTCATTTAATCTTGTACATTTAATTTTTATTTTATCAAAGGGGTGCCTGTGGTTTAAAACGCTAAGTACTAGGGTTTATAATGTCCAGAAGTACATGTGATATTAGTTTATTTCCTTCCCAATGGAAGATACCCGGGCTACACTGTATATGTATGTTCCTCCCAGAATGTGAGGCACCATTGTCCTGAGACTTTGGGGACCCACAGATGCCTGACACCATGCCCTGCCCCAGCTCCTCCTCCCTGAAGGCAGTGATTTTTGGTTGTTTCTTCTTCACTTCTTTACCTCCCTGTTTTCAAATAACAATCTGCTTTGTAAATCAAAAGTTCTGGATATTTTTTCCCATTTCAGATATTTCCTACGGACTTTCTAACAAGGAAGAAGGATTTGGGCCACCCCTACGCAGAGCCCTGTCTCATCCTTGCATCAGATACTGCAGGATGATTACTCAGATCCTCATAAACACGACCTGTGGCCGGGCTTCTGTGTATGATAGTTATATTTCTTTTCTGATATAACTTTTGTTTCCCTGAAGTGAAGGTTTTTCTTGTTTTCCATCATCTGAAGCTCACTTGGCTGCTGGCCTAGGCTTTGGTTCTCTCCATCCCTACCCACATGTCCTCTAGGTGCTAACACTCTGTGCGGTGCTGTCCTCTCCTGTTCTCCGGTCCACAGAGCCTGGTGCAGCCTTGTCCCTCCACTCTTTGAGTGGCGGTGCAAAAGGAAGTGAAGGTCATGAAGACATGGGTTCCACTGACCAGACTGTGGATCAGGGCCTCCCTGACCTCACTGACTGACTGTGGCTAAGGGTCTGCAGGGGACAGCAAGGCCAGGCCCATAAAGGCAAACCTGGAATCCTGACCTTTCTCCTGCCAACACCAGGCCTTGCCCAGCCAGCCCTGGCATCCAGCTGCACACATCCCTTTGCTTCTGTAATTTCAGAAAACATTTCTTTATATAAAACATACATTGCTTGAATGAAGGAAAGAAGGAGGGGAGCCAGGGGGTCCTGGAAGGGTCCACGCACCTACCTTCACTGCGCTGAAGCAGAAAACGTGGAGCAGGGTGGCCGCCAAGACACTACGGCCCACGCTGTACACGGCCGACACGATCCCAGACACAGCTAGAACACAAACACCAACAGTCCTTTCTCCACTGGCCATTCTCAGAAGTGATGAATGGTGTGAGACAGTGGGAGAAGGGTGAAGCTTTCAGATACAGACTGGCTGTCCAAGGGGCAAGAATGTATCTATGGGATCTGTCAGAAAGCATCGGTAGCTAGTGGTGCAAGGGAGGGAGGGGCTGACCATTTAGCTGAGCACAGGAGCAGGCTGAAAAGCCAAGCCACCTGGAGACCACACCTGGGCACCCCTCCAGGGAAGTGCTGGGGGAGGTCTAGTCCATCTCAGTCTGCACCTAAAGGACCATATTAAATGGGTCCCAGGGATAGTATAGGGACACAGGTCACCTCTCTGTTCAGGCACACACACAACACACTCACAGTGGCACACTCAGGCTCACACTGACACACTCCCGATTTGTATCTGTGTATACCCAGATACATATGCACGCACATGCACATAGAGACTTCCAGCCAAGTCACAGAGAATCCTTTGCTTCCTTGTTTCTCTGTTTGTGCCTTTCCTCTAAGAGGCCAGCCGGGTCACTTCCAATGGAGTGGGGTGCATCTGTGGCCCCTCACCCTGATCTGGATTGAGCAATGTTAGAGCTCAGGATAAAGCAAGGTCACTTGCCAGACTCCCGTCCACCCACCAAGCTATTCACCTCCTCTGACCCTTAGGGCCCTAGCAGAAGGGAAGCAACTCACCAGAACCACCAAAAAGCAGCATGTCAATCTGTTCCAAAAGGTAAGTACAAAAGGTGTTGATCTGCGGGAAGAGTCCAAGGAGCGAAATTGCAGGGAAGCAGTACAAAAATACTGAAAATGAATAAACAGAGCAGATGATAAGCTAAGTGTGCCCAGGCCGTTGCTCATGTAGTGCTACCTCCTTGCCCTCTGGGTGTTCTCCCACCCATGCTGTGACAGAAATGTACTGTGGAGGTAAAGGGGCTGGCCTACGAAAATGCATGCAGAACAGCTCAAACCACGCTGAAATCTCAGAGGCAGGAAGGAGAGAGGAGAACCACCCTCAGAATTGGATTTCGAAATTCAGGATGGTGGTGCACGCCAGCAATCCCAGCACTCTGGCAGGAGGATCACCGATTTTAGCCCAGCCTGGGCGTTTTAGTAACTCAACAACACCCTGGCTCAAAATTTTTAAAAAAGAAGAAAAGAAAAAATAAAAAGGGCTGGAGATGTAGCTCAGTGCAGAGCCTGGGTTCAGTCCCGAGTACCACCAAATTAAAAAGAAAAAGAAAAGAAGTATTAGACTTGAAAGGTTGAGGGAGAGTGGATAAGTCAGGGAAACCACAGGGCCGTGCAGAAATAAGAGCCAGTAGTTATAGGGGTCTCCTTCCGCACAGGGAGGGAATAGGAAGGGAAGCAGGGCACCCGGCCTTGTGCATCCGTGCTGCTGAGACAAGAGAACTAACTACACTACAAACAATTGTTGGGAAGTAGAGTTGTGTCTCAGCCCAGAGCTGTCACAAAGGCCTGGAGAGCACAATTCACTGAGGAACCACAGGACCTAAGGGACAGGACCTGGGAGGCAAGGGAAGACCGCGTCACCTCCCATTGTCATGAGCATGCAACAGTACAAGCCTTTAAAACCTTCTCGGCTGTAATTCGATGCCTCAGAAACAATGTGTGAGACAGCGGAGAAGCAGGAGAGCCATGTTTCACAGCAGCCTTTCCAGGCCTCTCCCCCACCTCAGAGTTCCCTTCTGGTCCAGAGACATGGAAATCCCCGAGGCGATGTGGCAGGGTACCTGACTTTCCTGCTGACTCAGGTACCAGGAAGAGGGGAAATGAAGTTTGATACTGGCAAGCCTTAATAAAACCAAGGAAATTCAATTTGAAATCCTGTAGGAAGCGTTGGAAAAACATTCTGAAACCACATAAACCACAGGGAGAAACAGAAACAGGAAAGGAAGGCAGGGTGCTTCAGCTCTTCTGAAAAATAGGAAACACAAACTGCCCAAAGTGAACTAGCAGGCACAGGAGTATTTGGACATCCCTTTGTCTAGCAGTTGGTTGGAAGTAAGTATAGGAAAAGTCTCTCCAAAACAAGGACAAAGGCATTGTGCCAAGTGTCTGGAATTTGATGCAATAAACATGACCATGATAATATGGTCTTTGCTTGGATTGGGGTCATGCTTTGGTACACAGTGATGCTGTAAGATTTTTATGGCAAAACTTTAATCCTGTTGTAGAAGCCTAAAGCACCTGCTGTAGTTTATTTGGGTATTTGCCATAGTGCTGGAAGGCAGACCCACATGGCACCTGAAAGCAGATCATTCCTCCATTCAGGGGAGGCAACAAGGTACAAACACCAATGTGCTAGACATAGCTCTTTTAGATCTCATGTCTTTTTCAGCCTCTCTGAATGGAATTCAGAGATCTGAAAAGAAAGCCACAAGAAAAAGAAAGCTAACTAAGGAACATAGAGTCGTGCGCATCAACATTTTAACCCATATAATTGTGAGCAAACTGAGCCGTTCCTCTTCCCTTGACCTTGGGGCCCAGAGCCAAGCCACAATGTCTGCGTACTATGCTGTCCCCTCCCACTTCCAGGGCAGGCAGAGGGATAGCGCAGTGAGCCCTCCTTGGTCCACTGTCCAAAGTGCTGAGAAGGAAAGGCCACAGGACAGTGTTGGGGTGGGAATGGCACTGCAGGCAGTTGATCATTCAAAGTAAAGAGGTGCTCTCCAGGAGAAACACATTCACCAATCCAATCAGACTAAACTAGTGATGCAAAAAGACCTGGAACACAGGATAACGGCACAAGGTAAATGAAGGGGCAGGAGACACTAGAAGGCCATTGCCAAGGAGGAATGTGGGCACAGCCCCAGGAATTAATGAAATAACAGGAGGGATGCTGGTCAGTAGGAGGGCCAGAGAACAAGGCCCTCTTCACAGTGCTCTAGTGAGAAAGCTCCTGTGAGTAAACAAAGGCCGCAGGGACAGAATGCAAGGAAGGGGATCCTTGTATCTCACCTGTTGGGTGCAGCTAACCACATCTAAAACTGCGGAAATTATTTTGTCCTTTTCTCCAAGAGTAAAGAAGTGAAGTCTCCGTGGTTATTCATAAATTTTACTGGGAAGAAGCATTTTCTGTTAGCACACTGCTGAACAGGTCTTTGATTCTCACTTCCTTTTTATGTCCTGTTTTCTACGATAATTACCATAAATGCAGAAACTTCTGGCTCAGTTCTATTTCAAGCAAAATTCATAAGTTAGAATACTGTAGCTTAAGCTTATTTCTTTTGCTAAGTGCAAATAGTAAAAATGACTACAGAGCAGATGTAAACATATGCACTGCAGCCACAGAAGGGCCACTCAGTACGGACTCACTCTCCTTTTATGGACTAGTGCAGCCAGGAAACACCCCCTCCTGTAGATACAGAGGGTGAAGCTGAGTGTGCAGGGAAGGCTGGGGGAGTTTCAAGCCAGTAACTGGCTACTGAGCTGCCACTCGTCTCCAAGGACTGTGATTGAAGCTGTATTATGGTAGGCAAAGGTTTCTTGTCTCAGGGGACTAAAATGAAAAAGAAACCTCTCATCTGAAAAGAACACCAGAGTCCACTTCAGAAAGAGCCTGTCCTATGCATGGACCAAAGCTAAAACTATGGTCTTCTCTCGCCTTGCCTTGAATAGCCTCATGCCAGGAGACTCCTTGCATCCCTAGACCCCAAACTTCCAGAAGACAGCCCCATCCAAGTCATCTCATAGGTCTCCTTTGCTCTGAGCTGTGATCCACACACCATGTGTCTAGAGTAGTTACTGCAGCTGCAACAAAGACCAAAGTCCCTTCCCTCTAGCCTGGCCACCCTGAACACCCAAAGGTGTGAGGTATACCTCTAGCTCTAAGGGTTTTTCCTCTGAGCCACACCGTGCTGTTCTGTCAGCCCATTTCCAGATCCTGTGTGGTTTCCCTCCTCAGCACCAGCCCCAGCTGTGTCCTGGGCCCTTTAAAACAGGGCACTCCAAACTAAGAAGCCCCTGGCTTTCACATCCATAGGACAGTTACAAAGCCAGCCTCACCCACAAGATTTTATTGAAGTTACCCAAATGGAAAGTAACCAGCTCGAGCCCTGCTGTTACCAGTCTCTGCCTGACCACAAGACTTGAGTGCTGCCTAAAGAGGCCTTTCGCCTTCTCTTGGAAATATTCATTTCCTTATAATAAAAGAAAACGCAGAGTGATAGCCTATATATAAATAAAGGGCAATAAAAGAAAAAGAATTTACAGAAGAATACTATTTTTGGTGTTTCCATCTCCTTTATCCACTTTAACTCTTCCTTCCATAGTTCTGTTATCCAACATTCTCTTGCCTTTCAAAGCTCCTCTCTAACGTTCAAAGTGTCACCATCCTTTCCCTGACTGGTCCCTACCACTGGGCGGGCTGCAACCCTGCCTGCCTAGGGAGGCAGGACCAGCTCTCCGAGAGCAGCTCTTCCACTCCTGTCCCTTGCTGCCCCACCTCAGATGGCAATAGGTGCTGGGCAAGGACCCTGAAGTATACTGGTCCCAGGAATGGCTCTAGAGAGGCACATCTAGGAGATACTTCACATCCTACCAGCCTGGGAGGACCATTCCACCCACCACCAAGGGAGAGGCATGATGGTGTCTTTGGCCATATCCTAGCACGGGTACTTAGTTCTTCCTTCTCTCTGGTTCTTTCTTTTTAAGCACTCCTTATGGATGTGATTGTGCCCCCACCAAAAAAAAATTTTAAAAGATGAAATTCAAATCCCTGGTTCCTGTGACTCTGACCTTAACTGGAAATCGTATCTTTGCAGATGATAATCAAGTCAAGAAGAGAACATAAGTTCATCTGGGCCCTGATCCAGTTTGACTATTCTCCTAATTAAAAGGACAGACTGGGACTTAGAGACTCACAGGCACATGGGAAGAAGAAATGAAACTCCAGGAAGAAGATGCCAAGGAGAAACCAACCCTGCTGACACTCTGGCCTTGGATTTCCCACTTCTAGGACTGTGAAAGGTTGTATTATTGTTCCCTAAGCCGTTCAGTTTGTGGTGCCTTGTCGTAGCTGCCCCAAGAAACAATATACTCCTTTTCCCTCCTACTAGTCTTCTGTTTTCTCCTCTCTTCCTCTCCTTGCTGGCCCCTGGATGTCATAATGGCAGCAGTTTTGTACTACGCAAATCACTTGACAGTTGGAGAGACAGGGAAAGAGGTTCCACAAAGCAGAAATGGCTTTGAATTGCTTTTGAAGGAGCCTCTGCCTCCTCTTCCCCGTCTCATTTGTTCTCAGGGTGTTTTGCTATCTTTTTTTGCTCATTGCAAATTAGTATGTCACTTAACACATTCAGTCCACAGGCCTGCTATTGTTCTACTTTTCTATTTAGCTTTACCACAGAAGTCATTTAGTCAGTTTGCTAGATCATGTGCTGCCATTTTTATCTATCACTGTTGACAAGCAGACAAACAATACATACTAGGAAGTTCTGAGGGAAAGGAAATTCCAGCGAAGAAGTCATCCCCTGCCCCCTCACTCCCTGAAGGACTTGACAAAAAATGAAAGGAGAAGATGCATAGCAGTCGCCTTTCCCAAACCAGGTTGCTGCAGAATGAGCAGTCTTGACTTTTGCCAAGCACATTAAAGCCTTGCTTTTGAGCCTCAATCACACCTCACATTCTAAGGCTACTATGAGTCTGCCATAGCTGGACAGCTGTGTTTACTCAATAATGTTGGCTTTTTTGGAGTAGAAAAATTTTGGAGTAGAAAAATGAGAATGAGGGAGAGGTCCACGTTAATATTATTTGAAGTGCGTTTATGCCATTTGTACATGGAAGGTGTGTCATGCGTTTCTGCTCCCAAATATCTTTCTACAGGTCATCTGCAAAACGCGCTTCCTAAGGGAGCTTACTCTGCCATTGAAGTCTACAGGATAAACTTCCTGCTGACGAATGGGAAGTGATCCTAAAGTCCATTTATATAGTAACTTATTTAGTACTTAAAGCATACTTTCATGTCCTGCTGTTCATGTACCCCATAAGTCACAAGTGTTTGTCGGATGCCTATGTATACCACAACCCGATGTGGGTGCTGAGAACTCAGTGGTGAGTGAGCAGAGTCTCTGGGCAGGCCTGGAGGGTAGGAGAAGTAGACATGAATCAAACATGACAAATGTAAGCAGATTACTACAAAAGGGTTAAGTGTTATGCAAAGTATATTACCAGCGGATAGAAGACGGGATGAAATTTAGGGAAATTAGCTGTTAGTAGCTAACACAGTCGAGGGTGGGGCAGATAGAGCCTAGGAGCATGAGCTCAGGGGCTATCTGTCCCTTGTCACTGTGAGAGGTAGAACTCTGTCAGCACTGACCCTTGGTGTAGATCCAGGGGAAGGATGGATGTGGGGTGCAGGGAGGGAAAAGGTGACATCTAAACGCAGGCATCTTCCCCACCCTTGTATATCCTCTGTCTCTAATCCCCAGGGCTCTGGACTATAGCCCCCAGAACCGCTGTGAAAAGTACAAAAAGAGATGGCAAGAAAGCGCAGTACTCCAGAGCACGTGCAGTCACAACTGAGCATCTCTACCTGCTCAAACTCTGACTTCTCCACAGAGGCTGACTTCAAGAAGAAGATGCTGAGCCAAGGTATCACAGGTCAGAATGAGTGAAGGACGTTTAGGGTGTCTTTGTGTGTGTGTGTGTGTGTGTGTGTGTGTGTGTGTGTGTGTGTGTGTCCCTAAGCCTGCATGTGTGCACCCATAGACTTCAAATAATATTAAGCAGTAAAATAAAAAGTAGCAGTAAGGGTAGAAGCAAATATTCCTGGCACTAGAGCACTGTTTCTATTTCCTAACTGGCCTCCAAGATTCTCTGAAACATGGTTCCCAAGCCCTTGGCAGTAGGAAGCTGCTCAGCTCCTCCTCCAGTGGAACAGAGAAAAATGCTGGGCTCCATATGGATGAGATGGGCTGGTAGGAGCTGGCGTGGTGGCATGAAGTGTGCTGCCAGTGCAGCAGAATGAGGCACGGGGCACTGGGAAGCAGCTGGGAAGGAGGTCAGGGGTGAAGTTTCTACCCACATGGAACATGGAGGAAGCTTCCTCCACCTCAGTTCCACTGAGAAATTCAGGAAGCTGCCAGGAGGTGACAGGACAATGTCACCCTAAGGCCCTTGTGTCAACTCCCAACTGGCACATGAGAGACCAGAGGTGGTGGTGGTGCTGCTGCCCTGCGTCTGTTCAGCTGATCAGTGTGATCCTGGCCAGTCACAAGGTGTCAGGCATGCGGCTCTTTGCTGTCATGGCAAGAATACTAGAGCACTCACAGCCCAGTCTGCAGAGCTGCGGTCAGTACTGAACAGACTTTTCACAAACTAAGGGCACCAATGATTGCTGCTTAGTGCTGAACATCATTCTATATGTTTCAGTATATTAACTCACTTAAACCTTACAATAGCTTCTGAGGTGGGTTGTATTTGTGTCCCCACATCACAATGGAATGATGCTCCAGGTGCTCATCTAGTGACATGGCAGAGCTGGGACTCAAGCCACCAGCAGCCTGGCTGTGGAGTCAGGCTCTAAATCATACAATGAGGGGCTGGGGATTTAGCTCAGCGGCAAAAGCGCCTGCCTGGCAAGCGCAAGGTCGTGAGTTCGGTTCCCGGTACCGGAGAAAAACCAAAAAAAAAAAAAAAAAAAAATCATACAATGAGCAGGTGATTCACTTTCAAAGAGTGTTTCACAGCACACACTCCCAGACATGAAGGCAAACAGAGTGCAACTATGGAAGCCAGGGTACCCAGAGCATCCACACCTCCGCCTGGGCTGAGAATGTGCCCACTCTTGCATGCCCAGGGCATCTGTGCTTCGGATGGAGTTGAGGCAGGAAGCCCGATGGCCAGGACATCCCAGAGGACACCACAGCCATCATGCTTCCAAGGTCACAGGGTGCAACCTCTTGGTCACGAATCTCAAAATCCTTTCAGAGAAGTCCACTGGTGGATGAGACGAGCTCCAGTTCCTGAATGGTCTCCCATAGATGCACAAGCCCAGAGAAGAAGGCTCCCATTTTCACCCAGAAATCAAGTAATGATGTTTCTCCACTTAGGAACTCAGAGGTTGAGAGGAAGACATAGCATCCTTGCCCAGTATTCACCCTTATGACCCAGACCCCCACTCACCTATCAAGTGGTCCCTGGCTGTCTGCAAGGACTCTGGGGAGAAGAGCTTCAGGCCATATACGACGTACCGAGGAGGGTGCCTGGATTTGGCCCCTGCATCAAGGAGCAAAATGAGGCCACACAGCACGCAAAAATAGATGGGTCGGCTATAGGTGATGATTTGGTTGTGTCCCTAGAAAATATAATACAGCTTCTGAGTTGTACCTTTTTAGTTTGACTAAACTATAAATGTCATTTATACCACATAATATAACTTATAGCATTCTAACACGTACTTTCCCCTTCTGTGCATGCAAAATACCAGGAAGAGAAAAAGGAAAAAGAATCTGATGCTTATTCTGTCAAATCAGAAGGAGAATATCTAAAACAATGCTATGCTCCTCAACTGCAACAAAATTTACCTAAAAATTTAACTACTGTCTTTGGAGAAAATCTAGATCTAATTCAGTGCTTTCTCTATTAATGAGACTTTCATTCATCTTGTCCATTTCAAGTGCAAAATTAATTTAAACCCTGATTTTTCTCTAACTTGGTCTCCACTAGTTATAAGAAACAGAATTGTAAGTTGTGAGCTTAAATTCCCTAGTGCCATAGAAAGCAAGAAAACTTAGATCCAAAGGTATGCTTGCATTGTTTACTGTGTCTTAGTGAAACACAGTGGAATATTTTTTTAAAGAAACTTGTTATTTTGACTATTTAAACATCACTTCCTTCTGAAGGAAACAAAATACTTGGCAGACTCATCTTAGCTCTGAAAATATTGTTAAAAGAAATAGACTTTTTATTGATTTTCTCCCATGACTACATAAATTTAAGGAAAACATGTAAAATCAACTTTCTAGGACAAAAGCCAGCAATGAATTTACATCTCACAAATCAATACACAATTCATAATACTTGAAAAACAGGCAAAAATTAGTTAGAGGGAGAATATATTTTGCAATTCATGAACTGCCTTGAGTGTAAAAAGTTAAAGATTAAAGTGATAGGACTTCAGATAAGAGTTTTTGGTCACTGCTTTGAATAGGTTATATTTAGAAATGCAATTTAAATTGCCTCTGCTTCTAAAATAGAAATAGTCCTATTCCAAGACCATCTTTCAATAGGCAGGAAGACACAGGATCTCCACAGAGGCTGGCTATGTTTGGTCCTGAAACCAGGCTGAGTCTTGAAAAATATTTTCTTTTGAATTCAACTAGGTCACAGATTAATGAGTATGGAAAAACTTTCTCTGCATTAAAAAAAAGAAGAACAGTAAAGCCTAAGCTAAATCTGAATGCACTTTTCATCAAGTGAATAGCCAAGTAAATTAGTTGGTATAAATAGCTATGTGCAATGCCAATACACATTCATAGGGGGCATTTCCTCAAACTCACACAGTTCAGGAAATACGATGAAATAGGTGACTTCCACTTGCTTTGAGTCTTCTTTTTATTGAAAGGTTAAAATACAGGGCTGGGCATATAGCTCAGTGGCACAGCATCCTACTGGCAAGCGGGAGGTCCTGAGTTTGATTCCTGGTACCTCCCCCAAAAATCCTTTGGGTAAAAGGTTAAAATACATTATCTAGCGACTGAAAGTCTCAGGTCTTGAATAATTTAAGATCTCATTTTGGGTCTTCCAAGTCAAACTTTATCAGAGATGGGAATGCTCTCGTTGCATTTATAATTTAAGAAAGAAAGCATGCAGTGCCCTTACAAAGAGCTTGTCTCTCCCACATGTTCACACATCTCCTAATTTCTTATCCTATATCTGGGGTCCCTAAACCACTCCAGGCGTATCACTAATACACAACACATAAGCCACTTCTATCTGCCTTGATTCCTAACAACACATACTAACAAAATTTCCTCCCTCTCCAGTTCCTGGTTTCAGGTATAAATCAATCATCAAAATCTTCATGGATTTTCTTTCTTTTTTTTCTTAACAAAAATTCCACTCACAGCAAGGTGTGGTAATGCACACCTGTAATCTCAGCACTCTGGGAGGTCGAGGAAGAAAAACTGTTAAATTCGAGCTCAGCCTGGGCAATTTAGTGATTTAATGAGGGCCTGTCTCAAAACAAAAAAGAGCTGGGGATATAGCTCAGTGTAAAGGCCTTGAGTTTAATCCCCAGTACAGGAAACAAGGAAGCGGGGAAAGAAGGAAGGAAGGAAGGAAGGAAGAAGGAAGGAAGGAAGGAAGGAAGGAAGGAAGGGAAGAAGGAAGGCAGGAAGGGAGAGAGGCAGGGAGGGAAGAGAAAAGAAACAGTCCTTAACAGTCTCCTAAAAGTTCACTTAATTCAGTCATCCTACATTTGCTTTTCACCTTAAAGTACACTATGGGAAGCACCTCTGAGGTCAGTGGGGAGTGTCTTACAAGACTGCAGCACAAGCACTGGCTGGTGTACACATTCATGTTCCCATCAGCCCCCCACATGCAAACTGTGTGATACACTAGTCCCAGTGCAGTGGCAGGATGGGGAGACACACAAGTTCTCTCTCAACTCTGATCCTTCTCAAGTTTTCTCATTTATCAACTGCAGATAATAAATTTGCCTCCTAAATATCTGAATTGTTCAGTCAGACCGCAAGAAAAAACATTTCGCAGCTATCCCATTTTCTTTCTTCATTAAAACTACTGGAGAAATGCCAATTCAAGTATGGGGCTGATCTACTTAAAAATCTGTGTAAGCAAATTAATTACTGCAATAAACATGGTTGGATATCTATGCCTTACTAGCACAGTAAGAAAAATCATTTCTCCCTGCTTCACTATGACAAGCTTGCTCAGATAATGGAACAGCATTAATCCTCAGTGGATTCCTCTAGGAGCCAGACAGTGTTATTACAGCTCAGTGCAGTAACACAGGGATCACAAGTAACAACACCTCAAGTCCACCAGGACTGTGGGGCGTCTTTGCCCCTCCCACCCCACCATGCTCTGCATCATTTCTCAAAGTACACGCAGGACAGGGAGGTTTAATAACGTAGAGCAGTGCACTCCAAGCCACCCAGAAAGTCAGCACCAGGGAGCACAGATAGGAGAAAGGCGCCAGTCATGTAGCACCCGGGGTGGGCTTCCCCAAAATCCTGCAGAGCTGCAGGACTCCTTCACAGCACCTACCCGATATCTCTGATGATAATCACAACAATATATCTTAATACTCTAATTATGCAGCTGCAACTTATCTTGACATTCAGATTCCAGAAAGAAAGAAGATGTATTATATGTAAACCAATTATGGGGAACAGAGGAATTTAACAAGACAGTGTAGAGCATCGCATGCCACGTGATCATCCAATTATAAGCTTTACTTAATTACTATGAGCCAAACATGAGCTACCACAGATTTAAAATCAGTCCTAAATCCTGGATGTGAATTTTTAGAAAGCACAATAGATGGAAGATTCAGCTTTCTTTCACTGGAAGGGCATTCTAGGTGTGCACAGGCACGTGCGCAACAAAGGCTATCAGTGCTCAGAGAGCCCAGTGGGCCACCGGGCAGTGGGCTCCACTCAGAGCACAAGACAGGTGTCCTTAAGGATGGCACCCAGCCCACAGCACCGCCCAAGTCACAGGGGCTCAGGGCAGAGGGAACCGCTGTGCTGCAGACTCACAGCAGATACCAGCAGCACAGAAAGACAAATTTTAATGAGGATGTGGAGAAGAGGGGGCCCTTGTTTACCACTAAAGGCACGGCCATTAGGGAGAACAGTACAGAGGTTCCAAAAAATTGCAGATGGAACTACCATATGATCCAGCAATTGCACTTCTGGGTATATATCCAAAGAAAATGAAAATACAGTAATAAGTTGAAGAGACACCTCCACTGCCACATTCATTGCAGCATTGTTCACAATTGCCAAGATACTGAAACAACCTGGTGACTTGTAAGGGATGAACTGACAAAGGAAATGTGGTATTCATATAAGTGCGTGCACACACACACACACACACACACACACACACACACACACACGGTAGCATATTATACACCTTTTAAAAAGAAGGAAATTATGTCATTTGCTACAACATGGTTAAACCTGGAGGCAATTATGCTAAGAGAAACAAGCCAGCCACATAAAGACACATTACTTACATATGGAATAAAAAAGAAATCATGCTCATAGAAGCAAGGAGTAGAATGATGGATGCCAGGGGATGGTGCAATGAGATGCTGGCGAAAGGGGACAAAGATTCACGTATATGGGGCATGAGTTTTGAAGGTCTATTATGGAGCGTGGTGAGTGTAGTTGATAATAATGTATTACAGTCTTGAAAAATGCTGAGAGCAGATTTTAAATATTCATACCAGGAAGAAAAAGCATTGAAGTCAGTTAGCTTGATTTGGTCACTCCACAATGTATACATAGACCAAATTATAATGTTTTACTCAAAATATATACTTCTTTTAAAAAGAAGTACAGTAGCCAAACTTACAGAGTGACCGCTATATGCCAAGCATTGCTCTAAGCACACTGCATGAGTTAATCTCCACGGGCATTTATTTAGCTTTATTTACACACAGGGAAACTGAGGCTCTAAAAGGACTGGTGTTTTCCTCAGCATCAAATATTCAAACAGAGGAATCAGAAGTAATGGCAGGTAATCTGCCTCCCAGCAGGCTGCTTTATCTTTTCCAACACAGTTGAGGAATAGGAGAGACCGACTGCATTCTGTGCATCCCCTGCAGCACCCACACCATGCCGTGCTACTCAAATCTAGCCACAGCACGGCCATCATGTATGCACAGTTCTACCTAATACAGTACTTTTGTTCAGAGTCAAGCTACAAGCCCTAGAGTGGTAGCACACATCTGTAACCCTAGTCCTCTGGGAGGCTGAGGCAGAAGGATCTCAACTTTGAGCCTATCTTAGGCAACCTAGCAAATTAGTGAGATCTTGTCTCAAAAGAAAAAATAAAAAAGGGTGGAGGGTGTAGCACAGTGTAAAGGCCCTAGATTCAACCTTTAGTTCTGAAAAAAAAAAAAAATCCAAGTTACACATACAGATGCAGGGTTTGAACAGACTCTCGCGTCCTCCTTGTCTCCAATACAAGCAGACAAGACAAGCTCCTTTCCTCCAAGTGGAAACTTACATGTATCGGTGAGGCAGGATCGGGCTGCACGCTCTGAAACACAAAGCAGAAGCACCTGTGTCATCTCACGATCACAAGGCTAGGCTGGGGAGAGCACAGGCAGAGAGAGAGCAGGATGACGTCTTGCCTTGAGCAGGGAGTACTGGCAGCTGGCCATGACCACGCAGAAGAGCAGCACCCACAGGTCTCTGCAGAAGCCTCGGTTCAGTGTCAGGAACCCCAGGAGGGAAACCAGGATGCTGAGCACAATGGCCAGCACGTTCTCCTTGACATCTTCAGTCCTGAGCAAAACACATAAAGAGACACCAGGGAAATAAGAGATAAGCTTGTTGGTTTTTAAACAGAGGATTCTTGTCTGTGTCTACAAAGACAAGCAGTGACAACAAAGCAGTTACCACATGCAACCTTCCTTATTGCTGTGCTATTCAAAGAAAGTCCTAGTTATGAACCCAGCTCTCTTTTATTGAAACAGATGGAATACAATCCTCTGGGAGCTCCTGGATCACTGCACTGCTCTTACAGGGAAGAGGCAGTCAGTGACGTTCTCTGCAATCCGAGACTGTTTCAGAGCTTGGGGTTCTCCTCGTTAGAGGGGAGGAGGAGGAGGGTCCATACACCCAGTTAATACAGGAAGTCTTGCCAGATACCAGCTACCATCTCTGAGAGCCATAGTTTGCTGCTGACTTTCAGAAGCCCTGAGCTCCAGCTGGAAAACAGAGAACTGAGACCTCCCGGCAGTTCGGGGTGCCTGGCTGGAGTGGGCAGTAGCCACAGTGCACAGGGTGATTTTGTTTGGGGGGACCTCCCATGTGAGGAGAAGGGTGGAAAGGGGGCCGCCCAGACAAGAGGCAGAGTGTTAATAGGTGGGCATGCAAAGGAGCAAGAGAGGGGTGGTTTCAGACACTGACGGGAGTGAGCCAGAGGGCTGCCGTGCAGGGCGGACAGGAAGCAGCTAGGGCAGGCGGGGCTGCATGCCAGGGCAAGCCTGGTGCACCAAAGGCCAGGTGGTCAGGGACTGACTGCTGGAGTGTTGGGGGAGGTGGGGATAAGCAGAGACCTGGAGTGTGACTTCAGAGGTACAAGGACGAGAGGCAGAGTGAGGTACTGGGAGGGGTCACTGAAATGGAGGCAGGGAGGGACCATGGTGGCAGCAGTATAGACACAGGGAAAAAGAGTCCAGGCATTTAGTGGAGCATTCATAAGAATTCTGAGGACACTTCTTGCCTTACCAATTTTGCTTGTGTGTATATAGGTTTCCCCCATGAAATTATGATCATTTTTAGGGAAGGATAATTGACTACTTCTGCCCTACATGTAGACAGTCAGGGACATTTTTTCAAATTAACAGACCTTTTTTTTTTTTAACAGGTATTTTAATTTCACAGAGAAATTGGGGGGCAAGTTCCTACACCCTCCCTGTCCTGCCAGGCACACATTTGCAGTATCCCCACCCTCAGCACCCCACATCAGAGAGGAACACTTGCTACTGACAAGGACTTTCGTTGACATGGCCTCATCACCCAAATCCGCAATTGACATGAGGGCTCCCACTTGGTGTGGACAAATATATGATGACGTGCATTCAAGATTATAGCATCACACAGAATACTGCCACTGCCCAAGAACCAGCTGGGTCACCTCTTCACATCTCCCTCTTCCGACCTCTTATAATCTCCATCTTTTTATTTGCCCATTTTTGCCTGTTCCAGAATGTCACACAGCTGGAATCATGCAGTGCATCGCTTTTGAAGACTGGCTTGTGTCACTTAGCCAAGCGCATTTGCTTCCTCCACATCTCTCTACGGGTTGATAGCCCATTTCTTTTTATCCCTTGTATAACTCATTGTATGGGTGTGCCACAGTTTGCCTGTTTACTCAGTGAAGGACTTCTTGCTTGCTTCCAAGTTTTGGCATTATTAATAAAGCTGCAGTAAGCACTCATGCACCAGTGTTTGCTTTGTTTTAT